TTTCCCTCCATAATGCAGTCATTTTATTTCATAGCACATTCACCATCTGAAATTCTGATTTTCTCATTTTTCCCACTGACACATACGGTCTTATGAGCTTATCACTAATAATGCCTTTTGCCATCATATTCCACATTTAGGATGTCAAAATACTCCCCTTTTAAGCACCTACCTCTAAGGTAGAAACTGCTCTCACTTAGGCAGAAAGATAATTGATTGAAGTTCTCGTCAATAGCACAGCCAGGACAATCACCCTGATCTCGAAGCTGCAGCGTTTAGTGCTCCAACATTCAGGTGTCCTGTGTCTCCGTGACTCCTGCATGCCCAGTGCAACATGGATTCACTGAATGAATGAGTGTGGATGTACATTATTGGGTAAGATGAGGTAGAATCATCTTTAAAGGTGATAGTTCTCTAAGATTGGCTTAAAAACTTGAGGTATGGGTCTCTGGACAATCAAAGTGTGTGACTGACGTGGAATTTTGAAAGTGCTTAAAAGACTCAAATTCTTTAAACAGAAATGTGTCAGATACAGGCTCGTAGCTATTTGGGCAAAGCCTCATAGCATGGCCTTCACTTGGCCAGAGTGTCCACTGCCTCAGGGAACCCTCGCAGATGCCAGCTTGCCTCAGAGGTGAGATGACTAAATCAGGGTGCTACTCTAGGAACTTGGGGGACTCCCAAATGACTTGGACATCTCATAAATGGAGTAAATTTATTCTCTGGGTTCTTCTGAAGCTTGCTTGTCTATGGAACACTGTCTTTAGAATTTAGGGGTTTTCTCGGCTTACTGGGAGCTGCCTGCTTGCCTTGTTTCATTAGGGAACAGGTCACAAATTGTATCTTGGCACCACTCTTAGCATATTGGCGATTCAACATCTTCCTTTTAGTTTTGGAGCCATTTTTATTCATTGAGGTTGGTATTGAACAAATTAAGTTTAGATGTTACATAAATCAAAAACCAAATATTAACATGACCAGATCTAGTTGAATTTATAAAATACTCTGAAACTCACACCAGGAAGGCAGGTGACTTGCTGGGATGTGTTATCAACTCACTGAACACAGTGAGCCTGTTACAAATTTTCTCTAAGTAACTAAGTGGATGATTCCTGTCCTACACATACCACATCTAAAGGGCTGGACACTTACTGCTTGAGTTTTTTAAATTAAGTAAAATGTATGTAAACTTTGACAATGTGTTTGAGGCATGTACCTTGCCTCTTTAGACTCTGTTAGCTCCTATTTTTTTTTATATGTAAGTGAACTACATGCTGGATTCTTGGGAAGACTCATCAGAATGAAAAGAATGGTGCCTTTGGCCACTCGGACCTAAGTACAGAATTTCACATAGTGAATTACATTAACTACAAGGGAATAGAAATTTAAAAAACTAAATTACAAGACTGCCATCTCTTTTTATAGAGTTGTGAACAATTCAAATTATGGCTGGAGAGCCCTGAGACTGTTAGCAAGGAGAAGCCCTCACTTCTTCCAGCCAACCAACCAGCAGTTTAAAAGTTTGCCAGAGTATCTTGAAAACATGGTAATAAAGCTAGCCAAGGAATTACCAGTAAGTAACAATAATTTTTCTCATATCCTTTAGTTGGCAGGATCTTTGAATTCAGCCTCTCGCTCCAACAGCAATAGCTGTTTCAGAGTTTATCATGTGGAAATAAGATAGTGATCCCAAACCACCGGCCCCCACCCCATTTTAGAATGGGAGGAAAAATACATTTGAGTATATATTTATAAGACGTATAAAATTGGGAAAGTAACATTCATTTTTATACCGCCTGTCATTTAAGTTCACAATGCCTTGGGTCACCTATTATCCACCTGTAAACTCAGACATGCCTTTTTCCTGTTTGCCAATACATTGTGCTGCCTTTCATCTACAGGGTCTAATGGGTAGCAGTAGGCAGCTTGGCCTCTACTATGTTCTTTTTCCCATATAGGCTTTCTCACTGTTAGTACCACAATATGGTCATAACTATAATACTTTGTACATAAAACCTACCCAGTTTTTAAGGATACGGTTACTCCTGCAGTCTTCCCTAGACCATTGTTACTCTATGCTAGGTATTTGCCAATCACCCAGTTTGCTGGCAGATACCTCTGTTGTTCCCATCACAGCTTTGTCTCACCAATACATATTATATTGTCTCCCTTCTTCCAGAGGGGGTCTCTATGACTCTCAGGACTCCCTGTCCTTCGTGATTCTTACCTGACATTCACACTTAATACTCTCAAGGGTAATGTTCAGGGCCCTTACCTTGGAATCTCGAAACCATTCTTACCTAGACAAAAAGTATCTCCTGTTACCTTATTTTAGAAGTTGATATTCTTTTAAACATTCTTCTTACTCATTTTAGCCGCCTTCTGAAGAAATAAAAACAGGTGAGGATGAAGATGAGGAAGATAATGATGCTTTACTGAAGGAAAATGAAAGTAAGAATTGAATTTTCTTGGCTATCTTACAAAATTGGAAAAGATTGGGGTTCTTTGTTGAGAGGTATGTTATTTAATTCAATCTACTTCTCAACTACCATTTATCTCAGCTCTGTTTCTTACAGTAGTGAGGAATGCTTGAAAATAAATTTTATAATACCTTTTATACAAGTTGGAAGTGATGGAAAGGAAGGTACTTACATTTGAAGGCGACTCATACCTCTGTTAATTCTTGTGGGGGACAAGGGGGAATAGCCAGTTTCAGGGGAAGCCTTCATCATTATACAGTAAATGCAAAAGCTTTAGTAACTTCATTGACTTCCTAATAATCATGATTTTAAGAATGGTATTTAGCCCATGGGAAATTTTAAAAGGACTGTTCTACTTTTAAAATAAAGCTTGTTAAGGTGCTGTCTCAGTGGCCCCAAATCTTCCCAGTTCTGTATACTTTGGATTATACATGTCCTGTACTTTGTACATTAATTTACATTCCTGTGTTTTCTAGGTCCTGATGTTCGGAGAGACAAACCTGTAACAGGGGAACAAATAGAGGTATTTGCCAGCAAACTGGGTGAACAGTGGAAGATTCTGGCTCCCTACTTGGAAATGAAAGACTCGGAAATTAGACAGATTGAGTGTGACAGTGAAGACATGAAGATGAGAGCTAAGCAGCTACTAATTGCCTGGCAAGACCAAGAGGGAGTCCATGCAACACCTGACACTCTGATTACTGCACTGAATAAGTCTGGATTAGGTGACCTTGCAGAAAGTCTAACTAATGACAGTGAGACAAATAGTTAGCTTGCATGCTTGCTTTTTTCTTTTTTATTAAAATTGTAAGATTTTATTACCAAGCAGCATTTGATAAGAGGTCCACTGGTTTTGGTCAATAAACATTTATATAACAGTTGTACAGTTAGCTGGTGCTCCCAGAACAACAGAACACATGATGGCTCTTGATAACTGACCTCAGGATTTGGGACGAGGGAGGGAACAGGCTATGAAACAGCCAAAATAATGTGACCTCAAGGTCACATATTTTTGCTCAGTAAATGTATTTAATGAATTCAGGAAGCAATACTTAGGGGCATGGTGTTTCCTAAAATAGTCTGTTAGTTTCCTAAATACCTTTAGTAGTTAGAAATTTTAACTTGCTATTCTGAAAATCCCAGAATAACACTAAATCCACGACTATTCTAGTCTCATTTATGCTTTTAAGCGGAGGGTCAGCAAACAGTGGTCTGACCACCACCTGTTTTTTCTAAAAGTAAAATTTTATTGGCATAAAACCATGCTGATGTAAGTATTGTCTGGCTCCTTTCATATTATAAGGGCAAAGTTAAGTAGTTGCAACCAAGACTTCGTGGCCTACAAAGCTAAAGTATTTACTACCTGACCCATTTCAGAAAATATTTGCTGACCCCCAACTTTAAAAGACAGGAGTGAGGTCAAACACCTCGTTCTTTCAAGCCTTACAAAAATTATTTAACCTCTTAAAAGTCCTTAAAATAGGAATGTATACCTTAGGAATTAAGCTCAAATGAGATGTAGGTGAAAGCACCCTAGGACCAGCCAAGCAGTATGTAGGACAGCTGGAGATGACAGGACCATCTACTCTGCCCCCACATCACTGCCAGTTAGGGCTGTCAGATGAGTAGGTCATCACTGTTTTGAATCCTGAATAAGGGCTTAACTCCACTAGCTAGTCCACTAGCTACAGCACAGCTCTGAAGAGCAAGAGGGCCTCGGTGCAAGAGGCTCAGTGAATAAGGCACACTCAGGAACAAGACATTTTCTTGCCTATTTGCCTTTTTCAAAGACCTTACATGCAAGGCTGTATACTAAAACAGCCATTGTTAGTTTAAAACAACACTGGTGTAAGTAAGTCCAAAATTTCTTATACTTCTTAAGAAAATCTTTGGAATCCTTTTTTAATCACATAATGAAATCGTTTGTTTTATGACAAGGAATTACACTTTCCTACCTCACCTAATCTGGTAGCTACAGCATCCTGCAAATGATAAAGTCTGAATTGTTATCACTAAATTTATGTCCTCAAAATTATTCAGACCAAGATAATGACTATAAAAAGAAACTTGTAGAATGTAGGGGGGGCATGGGGAGAGCTGTGCAACACAGAGAAGACAGGCAGTGATTCTACAGCATCTCCTATGCTGACGGGCAGTGACTGTAATGGGGTGTGTGGGGGGGACTTGATGAAGGGGGCAGCCTAGCAAACATAATGTTCTTCATGTAATTGTAGATTAATAGTAACAACAACAAAAAGAAACTTGCAAAGTTAAACCATCATACCAATAGATAAATGAATCATCACAATTATGTGGTCTCCCCATTCTATTCTGCATCCTCCAGCAAGGCAAAGGGAGACTGCCAAGAAAAAGTTTAGCTAAGGAAGCTATTTACAAGTAAATTTCCCCCCTAATGTTCTCAGATTATATATCACAGCTTAAACTTGAAAATGGCCATTGTCTAGGAATCTAATCGTCTGTGCTGTGCTCTGCAGAGCATTAAAACAGCCTAAGCAAAGATAGAGTTCACATTAATCCCCAAAGCTTTATTACAAGTATCTAGCCCAAAGAAAATCAGAGACAAATTAGCTAAGATCCTCCTTTCTGCAGCAATCAAGGCTCCTGAAACAAAGATGGGGGGGAATGTAAGAAATCTGCATTGCTGAAATACCTCATTCTGTTGGCTATTTTCACCATCATCTTAAAAATCATTGTCTTGAGACAGATGTTAACATTTGGGGCACTGACAGGACAGGAAGAACAACTGAGCCAAGTAACAGATCTGCCAGACAACACTGCATTTAGTATCCAAAGAATGCTGTTACTTTTACAACTTTGTATTTAAACAATATAATCTGAACAAAGATAACACTTTTAAATGGATGCTTAATAAACAGAGTAAAGCTGACCATCAGCAGTAACTGTATAGTATTAAACATACCTAAACTTCAGCCAAGCTCCAACACTCAATAGACAAAAGACTTGAGGTCAAAAGCTGTTGATTCCCTCTTTTTTTTTTTTTATTAAATATCCTCATCTTCTAAAAATAAGCAGCCAGAGCTTGTCAACATTTTTTAAGGCTGATTACTTACAAAACCATTGCAAAGTTAAATGTACAAACCATAGTACATCAGAGACACAGCAATAAATGCATAATCAAATGTACTATTAATCACAATTTATTTTAAAATCATGAAAAGCCAGCAACAGTCAGGCTGGACAAATACTTGATTGTACCCATGTTTCCATGGGATGTCAACAGCAGCACTGAGTTTACACAATGAGCAACCCTTCCTTTCCACCTTCCTGGCAAAATTTTTGTTAGATAAGGCAAAGGATGGGCAGCTACTGAATCACCGGTGGTTTGAACCATGCAAGAACAACAAATGATGGAGTACTAGGTGTGGAATAAACATTTGATTGCTGAGTCCTGGGCTGAAAAAGGCAGGGAGAAAAATTATCACAGAAGGTTAATAGTTGAAAAGCATTTCAACTCAGAATTTTGAAAAATTAATACAAGAAATAATAAGCTTTTGAAAAATGTCTTCCTGCCACCTCTATACAGGGCAGCACAGTCCAAACACAACTTTCTCTTTGCTGTGATTTTCTGTTGGTTGATAACATCGAGTGGTCTCCTTCCACCCTTTTTTCCACACATGGGGGGAAACACATAAAGCCACCTAACATCTTCCTCTAAAGCTCAGATTATGGTCAACAAGTAACATTTATTTCACACCTAAGCATAAATAGCTAAAATGAAGATTACTGTTCACTTTCCTCTTGAATTATTTCAACTCTGCGAGGCCCATACAGAAGAACATAAGCTATATGCCAGTCTCCACCACCAGAAAGCCGCAAGATATCCTCTGGTGTCACGATGCTGACCTTATCATCATCAAACTTAATCCATTCATCTGAAGAAAGAAAATGAAATTATTATACAAAACTTCTTCAGAGTTCCATTCCAAGTCATTTTATGCACAGCAGTATTCTATCTGCCATACCAACAGTTCTCAAAAGTCTCAGAGACTACTCAGGTTAAGACCATTTCAGGGGTTCCATGAAGGTTACAACTATTTACATAACACTACTAAAGCATTATTTGCTTTTTCCTCATTCTCAAGTGTGCTTTGGAATGTTCCAGAGGCTACATAATGTCATAAAGCAACAGACTGCAAAACAGATAGCAGATTCAGCTACCTCCTATGAAGTCAGACAAAACAGACTTACAAAAATGTAAATACCATTTCTTGCTTATTTTTGTTATGGAAATATTTTTATTTTTAAAGTTATTTATATTAATATGTAATAAATTTATTATGGCCAGTTTTAAATGAACTAATAATTTCTTAGTGTTTATTTCAATTATAGTAAATATTGAGATATAATCCTCATAAACAAGAACCCCTTGGTGTCCTCAATAATTAAGAATGTAAAGGGTTTGAGACCAAAAAGTTTGAGAACCACTATGATAAAAAATTTATACTAAACAGTTAACATACTATGTATGTGACAACTGAAAAACAGAATGGATTTACCTTGTTTCCTTTTCACCCATGATACATAATGACCCGAAGAGCTAGACCTTCCCTGGTGTGTTAGCACAGCTTGTAAATCATAGTATCCACAATTATTGGAGCCAGTGTCTAAAGGAAGATGTAAATTCAGTAATAGTAAACAATGAACAGATATGCTTTCTTTAGCTGTTAACAAGAACAACTCTGAAGTTTAGCCTAGAGAAGAACTACTCTTATTAGCAAAATTTAGTAAGATACTTTTCCAAAGCAACCCTTCCTTTCCACCTTCCTGGCAAAATTTTTGTTAGATAAGGCATGAAACTGCATGAAAAATGTTTATAGGAGTATAATACCAATATATGGATTTTTAATGTATGTCATATTAAGGTAAATAATACTTCAAGAAACCTGACCTTTTTTAAAGCATGATATCTGAAAAAACAGGTAAGTGACAAGATAGTAATTTTATCTTAAAAACCACACACAACAACTGAAATGAAGATTTCACTTACCATCAGCAAAAGAAAATGGCTCATACTTAATTTCTTTCTGGGGACTACTCTTTCTGTCACTCTGGGGAGAAAAATTTTAAATACAATACTGATAATTAAATTTGCATTCTCAATGAGTATTCACTTCCACAAGTATTAATGCAAAGCACTAAGAAAAACACAAAACATGGTCTGACTTACGAGTTACTAAAGTGAGAACTAGAGTTAACAAAACTGTAAACTCAAGTTCCTACAGTTTAACAATATACAATCTTGTATGTATAGTAACAGACCCCCTGATTATGGGACTAACTTTAAACTACTAAAGCTAGAGCGTATCAGTGAATAACTGCAGCACAGATAAATAGTGCTTTAGGGCAGAAAAGGAAAACCCAATTCTGCAATTTTACAAAAACACTATCAAACCACATACATAAAAACAAAATAGAACTACCTCAATAAAACAATTCAAATTACTGCAACTAATGCTAAATCTAAGCCAAGGCCACCTGCCTCTTTAGCCCAAGTGAACTGAAGTATTTTACTTAGCAAATACCCACATTTAAAGAGGCATGACTTACCACTTTAGAGAAGGACCTTTAGTGGGAGCTCCCTGCCTCAACCCATTTCAGTATATAATGCAAAAAATTAAACAACTTATCTAGGCATATGGACACACGGTTGTTGAAAAGTATAATGGTAATGACAGTCCAAGCAGTTTAAAGACAGCTGGAGTGACAAGTCAATGATCCAACAACAAAAAATGGCAATTAGGCAAACCATTCTTTTATGTGTGTTTATAAAATGTATGTGTGTGTGTGTGTGTATATATGAATATAATGTAATACCAACAGCAAACACAAAAAATACTATACAAAAAGAAAAGATTATAAGCCCCTATAGGTAAATCACATGAGAATTCTTAAAGTTCAGTAACCAAAAGAAGAGAAAAAAAATGAAAAAAAACAGCAGCAAAATATAGGGGGGGAATAAAGATAGCGGAGTAGGAAGGCAAGCCAGGAACCTCCTACACACACATCAAGGAGCAACTACAGGAAATGTAACTAACTGAAGACTGCAGAACAGACCACCTACACCTGGCAAAGAGAAGACCACACTGAAAATGGTGGAGTGGCAGAGCCCTGATGCAGCAGGACCCAGACCCTTCCCCTATCCCAGCCCAAAGGCAGAGGAAGAGGAAGTAAGCAGGAAGGGAATAGGTGCACAGGAATTCTACATGCCTGGCCCTGGAGATGTGCTCTAAAAACACAAAATCCATATCGGATCGGGCTATGGTGATTAGCAGGGCTGGACACATGGAGTTGGAACACTGGAAGGCTGCAACTCCGGCCACTTGTGGGGGACAGGCACATTCTGGAGGACCCAAAACAGAGGTGGCATTTAGAAAGATTTGCCAGCACCAGGAGTAGTACCAGAGGGGTGAGGGACTGAGCTCTCTCCACAGGAGAAAGGAAAGGTGGAAGACACTTTCCCAGCCCTTCCTTGGCCCAATAGGTTGGACACTCATGGGCACACCAACTGCTCCAAGCCCATCATTGGAAGCTCAGCCCTGAGGCACATTCCACACTGTTTACTCCACCGAGCAGCATCAGACTTCGCTCCCCAGCACATAGAGGGGCACTTTTCCCAGCTTTCTAAACCTTGTCTCAGCTCAACTGGGGAGATGCCTACAAGAGCCAGCTGGGAGCACTCCTTCCTCCTCCTTCCTTCATGGCAGGTGACCAAGTCCAGTGCCCTCCACCCACACACCTTGCAGCCACATGCCCCCATACCCTGCTGCCCAGCACCCACCTCAGATCCATGTGACTGCCCCACACACCCCGTCAGCCCAGCAGCTTGCACTATTGATGCAGGGCAGAGGGCACCCTGCCCCAATAATCCCAGAAGTGCTGCTGCGATAATCACAAGGGCCAGCTGAGGTGATCTGCCTCCTGCAGCAGACTGATACCAGTACTGGCAGACAGAAGCACAGCCCTCACACTGTCCACCAAAAGCAACTAGGTCTCCATGGCAAAGGAGAACCAGGCACTAGAGAGGAAAGAGTTGAGTTTTGAGGCACCACAAGATGCCTTCTAAATAAAGCCATTACTTTCTAGACCAGGAGGCATAGCAGATCCACTTAACAGAACAAAGGAAGAAAGAGAAACCCTGACAAAATGAGGCAGAGGAATATGTTCCAAACACAACTACAGTACAACACACCAGAGAGAGGGTAAATGAAATGAAGATCACCAATCTTCTTCCCAAAGACTTCAAATAGTCATAGATGTGCTCACTGATAGAAGGAAAAGTACTTAAGATCTCAGGGAGGGCTTCAGAGAAAAGAAGAGCTGAAAAAGAGCCACTCAGCTAAAGAATACAGTAACTGAAATGAAATATACAGTGTAGGGAATGAACAATGGAATACAGCAAGTAAAGGAGACGATCCATGAGATGGAAATTACAGAACAGGAAAAAAAACAAAAGCTAAGGAACAGAGAAAAAAAAGTCTCTACAAACAAAAGGATGTTAACAGCTGTGTGACAACTCCAAATGAAAGAATATTCACAAAACAGAGGAAACAGGAGAAGAGAAAGACAAAGGGACAGAACGTCTCTTTGAGGAAGTAATTGTCGAAAACTTCCCCAATCTGGGGAAGTAGACAGGTCATTGAAGCACAGAGAATCCCTACAAAAAGGAACCCCAGGAAGACAACAACAAGAAATATAATTAAAATGACAAATATCAAACCTCGCTGGAAGACTGTGGCACCACTTTCAGCCTTGTTCTGTGACCAGATAACGAAACAGAGGATAGAGAAATTAAAGATGGTGGTGTGAGAAGTGAGACAGAGGCCTCCTCCCAAAACAACATACAATATGAAAATATAATTCATACAACTAATCAAAACAGCAACAACAAGAAAGAAGGCTGCACCAGACTGCATATACCTGGAGAAGAGAACAGGCCTCACGAAACAGGGTAACAGACCAAAAGCTGTGATCTGGCAGGACCCAAGCCCTTCCACCACCCCAGCTCCCCAGGGGAAGGAAGAGAAATGGAGCAGGGAGTGGAGGCCTAGGACTGCTGAACACCCTGGAGATCTGCTCTGGGAGCACAAACATACATTGCATGGTGCTCTGGAGATTAGTGGGGTTGGAAAGCTAAGGCAGGCGGACTACCTGGAGATACTGAGATTTCAGCCACTTGTGGAAATTAGATCCACATCCAGCTGCTCTGGGACAAAAGAAAGGTGGGCAGCCTGAGAGACTTTCTAACAGTAAGAGAGCTGCTAAAGGGACCAGGATGGCACAAGGCTTACTACTCAGGACAAAGGACAGGTGGACAAAATTGTCTGGGCGCATACTGCCCAGCACATTGGGAACTTTCAGGAGCTTCACACACTCGATCCCCCTGGCTGACTATGCAGCTCTAAGACCGCCCCCCCCCACCATGATACATACCCTGCTGTGCCTTCCTCCCTAACAGCCTGCACCAGCTTGCACACCACCAGCACCTTCTCTGACATCAGGCCAGCCAGACAGAAGCCCCAACTATGACAGCTACAAACGGAAAGCATAGAGGCTTACACCTGTGTGCTCGGCCCAGTAGTTCTGGCAGTGAAGACAGGTCTAGCAGCTGGGAGCAGGACACAGCTCTCTCCTCCCCCCAGGCACCAGCAGCACTCCCCTGTGACCACCACCATCACTCAAGGGGCTGAGCAACTCCAGAAAGGGGAGCTTCTGGGCACTAGAGAGCACTACATACAAACAGGAAATGTCAAAGAAACCTGTTCAAATGAAAATCCCACAAACAACAGTAAAAGGGTCAAGTGAATCTGAACTCATCGATTTCCTGAAAGATTTCAAAATAAAAATCATAAACATGCTCATAGAGGTACAGAAAAATACTAAAGAACTCAGGGAAGAATTCAGGATAGAGATTCAATTATTATGAAATACAGTATTAACAATGAAACATACACTGGAGGGATTTAAAAGCACTGGAGGAGATGGTAAATGGAATAGAAATTATAAAAGAGGAATACAAAGAAGCTGAGGCACAGAAAGATAAAAAGGATCTCTAGGAATGAAAGAATATTGAGACAACTGTGCGGCCAATGCAAACAGAACAATATTCACATTATAGGAGTACCAGAAGAAGAGAGAGAAAAAAGGTAAAGAAAGTGCCCATGAAGAAATAATTACTGAAAACTTCCCAAATATAGGGAAGGAGACAGTCGCTCAAGTCATAGAGCTGCACAGATCTCCCAACAAAGGGATCCAAGGAAGACAACACCAAGACATATACTTATGAAAATGGAAAAGATCAACAACAAGAACAGACTATTAAAACCAGCCAGAGAGAGAAAGAAGATCACATACAAAAGAAGACCCATCAGGCTATCATCAGACTTCTGCTCTTATCATCAATAGAAACCTTACAGGCAAGAAGGCAGTGGCATGATATATTTAATGCAATGAATCAGAAGGACCTCCAACCAAAAATACTCTAACCGGCAAGATTAACAGAGAAATTTGAAGGAGAGATAAAACAATTTCCAGATAAGCAAAAGTTGAGGAAATTTACCTCCCACAAACTATCTCTACAGTGTATATTGGAGGGACTGCTATAGATACAAGTTTTTCTAAGACTAAATAGATGTCATAAGAGGAAATAAAACCACGCTAAAGAAAGTAGAACAATTAATTACTACGTAGATGAAAAATTAAATCAACTATCCCCAAAGTCAGTCATGGGATAGACAAACAGTAGAATATGATACCTAATATATAAAGAAATGAGGAGGAAGAAAAGTGAGGGGAAAAAAAGAGAACCTTTAGGTTGTATTTGTAATAGCATCCCAAATAAGTTGTTAGACTGCTATATTACCATTGAACCTTTGGTGGTAACCACGAATCTAAAGCCTGCAATGGCAACAAGCACATACCTATCGATAATCACCCTAATGTAAACAGTCTAAAAGCACCAATCAAAAGACATAGAGTCACTGAATGGAAAAAAAACAAAACCGTTTACATGTTGCCTACAAGAGACTTACTTAAAACCCAAAGACATACA